TTTTAAAAGAAATCGTGAAATTATGAAATTATGAATTCATGAATTCACGATTTAAAAATTCAACATTTCACTCTAAAAGTAATGAATTTAAAATCTTGAAATCATGAATTCATGAACGTGAAATGTCACCACCGGTCTTTCGTACATTGTCGTGCTGGTTGTGTAAGTACCAACTACAAATTAAAGAAAATGAACCTTAAGTTTATTTTTTATATTAGGAAATTGGCACTTTTTACAGTAGCAAGACTAGAAAAAGAAAACTATCCTGTACGAAATTTTACTCCTGTATTTTTGCCTAAAATACACCTGTTTTCTGTTAAAAATTACAGCTGTATTTTTCTTCAGTTTAGATAAACTTATAGCAAATTACACCTGTTTTTTTTCTCAAAAATACAGCCGTTTTACACCTGTACTATGAACGAAATATGTAAATTAACCGTATTTTTATACGGGTCCAAAATATAGTTGTACTGCTTTACATCTGTTTTAAATACAGGTTGGGGCGTCCGTGGCCGAGTGGTTATGGTCGTTGACTTCAAACCACTTGTCCCTCACCGCTTAGGGTTCGAATCCCTACAGGGACTTTGGATTCTTTCATGTGAGGAAGCTATCCAGCTAGCTTACGGAACGTCGGTGGTTCTACTCAGGTGTCCGTTCGTGCCTGATATAATGCACGGAAGGCACCTGAGGTCTTCCTCCACCAGTAAAGCTGGAACGTCGCGATATCACCTATACTGTGTCGATGTGACGTAAAATTCAAAACAAACAAATAAATACAGGTGTAAAATTTTGCAGGTCTAAAAATACAGGTGTATATTTTTTCAGCTCAAAAATATAGGTATAAAATTTTACAGGTCAAAAATACAGGTAGGGATGAAAAAAACACACCCTAATGTAAACATACTAGGTGCAAATATATTTTTCCTTTGAATAAATAAATGTACTTTTATCAGAAATTTTGTGCATTTGTCTCTACTAAATCTTTAAAAATAAGAAAAAGTTATTACCTTATTTTTTTATGATTCTGGTTTTCATCTTGTCCAAGGTAATAATGCAGCATTCAAATTTCATTTAATCCAGAATATTGTCATTTACATTAACAAGACTATAGTCTTGACATTTTTCCTTTGAAATATACACCCAAACATTTTATACAAGATATTATCTTGAAAATTGCTTATAATATATCTCCACAATTTATTAATTGTAAATAAGATACTTTGTGATACATGAGCACTAATTTCCAATCCTGCTGAACCAAATGCCTCAGATTTCAAATTTTAGACAAGTCCATCATGCATGATGTTAAACAGGGTTATTCCAAAAATCAGAGCACCCATCATTTTATCTTCACAATCATAAGAAAATAAATGTGTAATGTAGAATTTCAAATTCATAATTTTCTTTTCAAAATTACTTTGCAATGTCCTTCTAAACAGACTTCATATAAGTTTTTTAAAATTGTTTCTCCCCAAAAAATCAAATGGAAGAGTCTGGACTATAGCAGAATTTATGGTGGGAAAACAGGTGGTTTCCATTATCAGATTGGTTAGTGGTGTTAAATCAGTCAGTGGTGTAAAATCGTTGTAGAGTACTGGTTCAGGCAGTGTTTATTTATTTATCCTATTTATAAGAAATAATCAACAGGTCATTTATATTACAAACTAGATTAAGAGAGCTTAATGTATATTTCATACACAATTTACTTTACAGAGGGAAGAAAAACTCATAATGTCTGCAAATTTACAAACAAACTTGGGAGTCTTGAATAAGTACCAGTTTTGTTGTGTTGTTTTTTAAACTTACAAAAAAGCAAGTACATGCCTAATTGTGAACTATTTTATATAATTTTAAACTAAATGATCATATAGAATGTACATGTATATTAACATTTAGATAGCATTCTTAGTTCAATGTTGATTACATAATGTTAAAAAATAAATCCTTAGTGTAAATAATGTCCATCCAGTCTGTACAACTGCATTAAAGATACTAAAGTATTTAAATAAGGACAAATTTTCTAGGTTGTTTTGAAAAAGATGATCTAAGTGTAAAAGTTATTCTACATCTTTACCATAGAAAATACAGTTGTACTTTTGGACTTAGATTATTTTCAGCACCAAATATCTGCTCAATATTTTCTAAGTATCAGAATTACATGTGTACATCTAAAACACAGGTCTTGTCTCAAAAATACACCTGTAAAATTATTAAATACACCTGTATTTCTTAGGAAAAATATCAGATTCAGCAAATACAGGTCTCTAAGACCTGTATTTTAAAAAAACAGGTGTTTTTCAGTCATTTTACAGTTGTAATACACGAGTTTGTTTTCGTACGGGATGGATTTAAATCTATACAGATAATTTAGTTAAAAGCATAGAACGATTGTGACGTGACAATAGAAAGACATAAGAGAAACAGAATGAAAGGAGAGTGCGACTTCTTAGAGAGAGAAAGATGTTAGAGGAAAAACGTCAGCGAAACATGTAAAATAAGGAATAATCCGCTTGGCGGAGATGAAAAAGTAAAACATATGGAAGAAACGGTTAGTAAGTAAATATTGGTAGATGACAATAAAACATTATGAGAATGACATGACAAGCCATGGACATATAGAAATGGAACAGTAGAAGGACATAATAGACACAACAGTGAAAGAAACAAAATGGACAGACACGTCCGGAAGAAGTTAAAAGAGATCCTGTGAATCGTTTGGCAATGCATGGTCGACGGCAATATTAGGTGGCCCAAGTCTTATTGGTACACTTGCGAACTGGCATAAAAAAGTGAAACCAGCTTCCTTCACCAGTTACAATATTCGAAGTACAGTGTCTGTCATATTTAGGAAACAAGATTCAGTAATTTTCGAGCGCATTTAACTCTTTTTTTCTGGTCAGATGTTAGCAAATGTTGTATCCATCTTGCAATTATTCGCCTAATTGCAAGCGTTTGATTTGACACGATTGATATCCCTGCGATATGGGCTATCTGGGTAATTGAAATACTTTGCCAATAATATGCTTGACTTTATGAATGTATTGTCAGTTTTCTGTTAGACACACAGGCATTTTTAATTGACTCGTGTCCATTAATTGTTTAGTTTATGGATCCGTTCAAAATAGTTCCATAAGACACTTCAATGTTGCCATCAGTACAAATATCACGTTAAACATTTATAGAAGACTTTCTAAGTTTTGCTCGAGCTTTTATGTAATCCCGTATTATATAAAGATAATGGTTATATAGCATATCATATGCTTATAACCTGAAGAAAGAAGTGCAATGAAAATATTTGTCACAAAATTTAAACACAGCAGTATATTGACTTCCATACAAAATACTCATTCAAAATAACTTTACTTACTGCTAAAAAGTAAGAGAAGCGAATGATGGTTCAGGTTATTTGCAAATCAGTTACTTTTTGAAAACTGTAACAGGACACAAAATACAAAAGCTTTTGAGAAATAAGCATAAAAGCATTTCTGAGGCATTATGTGCCATTAAAACTGATACATTAATAAAATGTTAATAGATAACATTAATTGCTTTTACAATTACTGTGATCAAGTAGATGGTATGACTTTGCTCAAATAAAAATAAATAGATGAAAAATTTGAGTGTAACAAATTTATCTTTATACCATTCTTATCACCTCACAAGTCTATGCATAACAATTTCATCTTGACTTGTTTTGCAACTAGTCTGATGCCTGGTTGAAATTGTTTTTGGCAGTCTTTCGCAGAAGATAAATTTTCTCTGTTAAAGAAAGTCAAATATAAGTTAATACAAAGTAAAAAATGGCAGGTTATTTATTTCAAACAAAAACAGATATTTTGTTTAACATTTTCACACTGATATTCATCTTTGAAGTGTCTTCAATCTTAGCTTTTATTAGAATACAACAATGCTGTCAGAGTGTAAACATAAGTCATTGAGCTATAAGAAGCTTTAATTCAGTCAAAATCTGTAATGGATTGCCATGTCTCTACCATTGTCTTGTCCATGGATGTGTATGACATTTCCTTTCAACTGTGTCTGGTGGTATCACAAGCTGGTTTCTATCTGGTAGTGAAGACTCCAAAATAATTCAAGAGTCATGACAAGTACTCCAGATCCAATCATAGAATCACATACCTGCATATAAAGCATATAAAGAAAATTTATCATAAGATGAAAGCAGTAATAATAAGTCAGCTACAATATCGTTCAATTTCATACCTAAATTTAGTATTGTCATGAATAGAAAATAATGTTGAAAAGGTAAAAACACTTCGTGGTGTCCTAGTTTAGTTTATATATGTAGATTTGCTTTGACTACTGATCAATACTTCTTAACAGTGGGCAAACAAATTATAGATTGAAATGTGATAGTGACTAAGTTGTATTAATCATTAACAGAACATAGATTTTTACTTGAAAATACCTTAAAATGTCTTACTTTAGAAAAAAATACTTTAAATCAGTATTTAACAGAAATAAACTATATATATATGTCATACTGTTTGTTTACTTAGCTTAAATGTAATTATGTACAAAAACGAGAACATAATGTTATACAAGATTTTAATTGTTTTCTGTGTATTTCTTACCAAAACGATTATGCAGCAGCTACATCATGTCATTTGTATTCCTACAAGTTACATCGGATACTGACCTCATTCACAGCACCACTGTCCTCAGTCTATATACCTACACGAGCAAAATATTTCACTAAATTTTATGACCATTTAACTTGTTTAAATAGCTTGACAATTTGGGTTTTACTCTATTTTCAGTTAGAAGGAAATATATTTAACTTAAGCACACTGATAACCATTATAAAACATTCTGTCCGAGTCCGAAGTTTCTATACATAACACTTACAAGAAAAGCATTGATGCAAAGCACCAAAGGCGTCCAAGCAAGAAATGCAGCAAGTGAAGATTAACTAGTAGACATATGATTATAAACTTTTCAATGGTTTATTGGTTTTTCCAGAATTGTATATCATTTATGAATGGGTGGACGAAAGACATTGTTCATTATGAACTTTGGTAGGCATGCTGGAGATTAAAATACTACTTGTTTTTTTTCCACAGGAGCTTTTATCAATATTAACGATAATATCCAAAATATACAGGTCAATGATAATATGCAAAATATACTCCCCATATGGTTTAAGTTTATTTATACTATTAGGGGTATTTTTGATATTATCATTAATATTGGTTATTTGATAGAATTTCAAGTTCATGTGGTATTTTTTTTTTTTTTGGAACATACAAAATAGTAGTCAAAATCAATAGGGAGATCAGAGTCGATTTTAGAAAAAGATCATTGGACAGCGAATAGGTTTTATAGTATACTACTGCTAGACCTATTAATTGTCGCCCAACGTCAAAATAGAAGCGACATATAAAGTTCTGAACTTGGTCGATTTAATTATTCACGGTAAAAATGTCATAAGTGCACTCAGGGCTGTAAAAAAGAAAACCGGAAAGAACATACGGAAAAGTCTTTTACAAAATGATAATACTATGATATAACAATTCGTAAAAATTGGCATACTTAAATTTTTTTTCTATAGATTTATAACGAATGCAATTAATTGTTTGAATATGTTTCCATTTCATTTCCTTCAAAATTCTCCAGTTTGTTATTTATTACCATAAATTGTGCGCGACACGAATGACCGTTTCGTTAAACTAAAACTGCTTCTATAAATAGATTTTCGGTCTTTCACAATGTTAAGGTTATAGCTTTCGGATACATGCACAACAATAACATACATTATCGCACGGTTTCGAAATTTTCTTTGTTCTTACTTACCCATTATACTCAGTACACTTCAATGAGCATTTGAAATCTGTATTGATATATAGCAGAACAGTTTTTTCATTGATTCATATAGGAAACAAACTCGACTGCTATATAAGCAGTTGAGTTTTTTTTCGCACCTTGTATATATCAGTGTAGTTTTCATTTTCACAGAGGCCCCAATAGGGCAGGGATAACGAACATTCCCAGTAGCAAAAAAAAATGGAATCAATAAAATAAAATAAAATAAATAAATACAATAAAAACTATAAACAAAGATAATTAATGAATTGAAATTTACTCTCATTTAATCAAAAGGTACATCCGCTGAATGAATTATTAGCACTGAAAAAAAGCCCTTTAATCTTGAATCAATATTGGTAACAGTTTACAATCCGCCTCTAACATTGGATGGCTTTTGTATATCTTTTTTGCGGCAGCGAAAACAACTTTAAAAAAATACCTTATCATAAATAGCTGTAATGAAGCTAACGATTTATTTATTTATTTATTTCTGTTACAAGAAAAAGAAAACGTGATTCCATTGCGATAAAATAGTTATAGTATATGAAACTCGATGGTTAAGAGGATATAACACTGGCTAGGGGACATCTCGGGATGTTTCTGCAAAAAATTGTCTCGCCATTTTTCTAGCAGAAACATCCTTTGATGTCATCCAAGCCAGTGTTATATCCTCGTAACTAACTCGTTTCATATACTATAACTATTACTTAATACCCACTGTGTACTACAAAATGATTAATAAAAAATCCGAAGAGCGCGATTAATTGACAGAAAAGATTATTTCATTTGAATGTGTTCGGAAAAGATTATTTCTTTGTGAATATGTTTGCATTGCGAACTTCTCCAGTTCGCTATTCATTGAACATATCGCGACACTTTATTTTTAATAATCAAACACCCTCATACCAATCGGAATAATTGGCTTTTATGACTGACTAAAAGGCCCGAGAAATTGCAATTGCCCTTTCACAAAATCGGATTTCATTCCATATAGGGCGTCGCGCTTCGGAGCGGACGCCAATAACACATAATCACATTGCGCTATAGAAAATCGATGCGAATTAAGTTGTATCAATGCACTAATTTATTAGAATAACATGGAAATGAAAATGTAACAACATTAATTGCGATAAACTGAATTCGAAATGACACACCCACCTGAAGATTATACGTAGTGTCTTTCATTGAGATGAAACCATTTGCATTTCGTTATAAAACAAAAAATGTCTGTCAATTTCCGTTCCCACTGGCATACAAATATACCAAATATAGATTAGCAATGTTGATTTTTGTTTGTACCCGGAAGTGCAAAGTATCGTAAAATCTCGCAAGTCACATGACGTAACTTAGATTAAAAATTAACATACCTGTAAAATTTAATTGATACTGTATTTGGAAAAACCCGTTCTTACTTTGTATAATATAAACCTTTAAAACTGGAACATTATCGTTATTTAAGTATTTGTGGATTACTACAACAGAAAAAAGCATGTTTTCTCCAGGTTGGTGAATTATAGTTTAACAAATTTACATAACAGACTACAGAATATTTGGATAAAAATGATATTTTACACAATGTACAAATAGGTTTTCAGCTAAAGGGCACGCACTAGTGATCATATGTTTGTACTATTATTGAAAACTTTATAGCTTTAAACCTGTTGTGGAGATTTTTCCAAGGATTTTGATACTATTTCTTTTTTAAATGTCCTGAGAGATATGTACAAAGATACTTACATTCATATTAAACTTTAAAA